GGGAGGGGACATCAGAAGCACAACCTCATGCCCACAGGGCAGATGGCAGCCTGTGCCATCAGCCAGGCATCACTGGCGTGCAGTGGGCACACCTGTATGGCCTTGTCCCAATGACACCAAGGCTTGGACTCAAGGCCAGGACCCTCACACCCGTCAACGAAGAGAATTATCATGTCAGCAGGCGGGAAAGGCCCTGTGGACTATTGTCTTGTGCAGGGTTCCTGACCCCAGGTTCTTGAATGGGCAGCTGGAGGCCCAGGAGGCCCTGACAAGTGCACATAAACTCTAATCAAATGAGGTTTGCTTAAGAGAGGATCTGTGGGTTTTGGCAGATTCTCAAAAAGACCCAGATTCCAAAAAAAGATTAATTACTACTACTATAAAGTAAAAATAAGGGACCAAGAAGAGACACGAAGGCACAGGATCAAGGAAACAGACCAGCTCTGGACAGGAATGAAGTGATGGGCAGACAGGACAGAAAGGATGGAGGACAGAGACTAGGACAGGGAGGGGGAAGACGGAGACAGGACCTTCACCTGGACAGGTACACAGTCGCCCAGTGCAACCCCTAGAAAGCTGTCCTTGATGCAAGTGGCAGAGTATGGCACAATACAGTCCAGCACCAGGCACGGCAGGCAGCGCCTCCTCCCTCAGCCTGGCACTGGCCTCACCACTACCACCCTCCCCCAACCGTCTCCTGGTTCTCCTGCCTGGAAGACAGAATGGACAGACCAGAGACAGATGGCAGACAGGATGGACTAGACGGACAGGCCAGCACAAAGGGACAGATGAAGGGACAGGTGAACAACGAAGGATCAAGACAGGGACAGATAGGTGCAGATGACCAGAGCAGAAACGTGGGCCTGTCTACAAGGACCATTCTAGGTCTGGGGCCCATGAACTGCCATCAGGGAGCTGTGAACCCAGCAGGGCTCACACAGTTGTGGGGCTATGAATGTCGGCACCTTTTCTCAGGTTCTTCAAGATGAACCCTGGCAAAGTCAAGAACCACTGTTCCTACACGCCAAACCCCTGGTTTACAGGTGCACAAACTCAGGGCCACAGGGAGAAAGCACACAGACCCCCCCCCCCCCAGTCCCCAAGGGGAGCGAGAGCCCAAAGCGAACCCCAACACTCCTCCATTGGAGCTGCCTAAACCATTCGTGACCCCAGAAGCCCGCCTCCAAGCCCAATGATGCTCAGAGAACTAGGCAACCAACAAATGAGTGCGGGCAGCCCCTCCACCCAAGGCCCCGCAGCCTCACCTTGGTGCGCCCGTTGATGACGTAGCCGCCCAGCCGCCCGGCGCAGTGCCGGATGACGGCGTCCACGTGGGCCATGAGGGCGCCGATGCTGCGGCAGCCCGGCTCGTGGCCCTCCACCCAGGCGATCTGGTCCCCGCGGATGCTGCGTGGCGGGATAGCCCGCTGGCTCACTAGCTGCCCGTCACGCAGGCGCCCGCCCCGCTTCAGGGCCTCCACCTCGGCCAGCACGCGGCCACCCAGCGCCGCCCCCAGGAAGCTGTCCTTGACGCAGATGCCATAGTACCGCATGCAGGGCACAATATAGTCCAGGGCCAAGCGCTCAGGGGCAGCGGGCAGCACCTCCTCCCTCGGCCCGGCGCTGGCCTCGCCATTGCCACTGCTGCAGCCCACGCCACCCTGCCCCTCCCCCTCCGCCTCCTGGTTCTCCTGCTTTGCCCAGGGCCGCTTGCTGGGTGCGGGGGCATCCCCACCATCCTCTGCCCATTTCCGTTTGGGAGCCTCAGGCCGGGCGCCCTGGGCCGCCAGTCTCTGGCACCCCTTGGTGACCAGCGCTGCAGCGCCCTCACTCTGCAGCGGCCGCAGTTCGCCGCCATCCTGCCCGCCAAAGCCCTCCCGCAGGGGGCTGGCTGTGGTGGAAGAGGCTGTGGCTCTGGGGGTCCCACTCCCCGCCGAGGCCTCACCAGGCACTCCTGGACAGTGGTAAGAGGGTAGCAAGGAACAGGGCAGGTAACTTTCCACCCCCATCCTGGCCCGGCCAGGCTCCAAGGGCTCTGACACAGAATCCAGCAACTGAGGGAGAGCTTGATTCAGGGGCTGCGGCTGGCACGGGCTGTCCATGGCAGCAGCGTCTTCATCCCCCGGGCATGGAGGGCACGGCCCGGGCCCATGGTGCCACCCTCCTCCGCCTCCTCCTCCTCCACTTGATGCAGCCGGGGGCAGGGGCGACTGGGCCTGGCGTGGGGCAGAGTGAGACAGGGCAGGCAGCAGAGGCTCTTCTCGTGCCCTGGGGGTGCTCGCTGGTCCCCAAGTCCTCTGCTGTCCCTAGGGGCTTGGGAAGGGACCCGTCAGGGTGGCTGGATGGAGAGAGAGAAAAAGAGATGTGAGACGAGTTAGAGGCAGGCCTACTTGGGGAAGGAGTGAGGGATTTAGGGGCAGTAGAAAGGAAGACTGACTTGGCTACAGAGATCCCCAGAACCTAAATCAAGTGGGGGAGAAGACTGTAGGAATTTGGGGGGGAAGTCACTGACAAGAGGCAGAGAGGGGGGCAGCTGGAGGAGTGAGGCTGGGTAGATGACCCAAAGCCAAAGGACTGCATCGGGGGCTGTGGGAGAGAGCATCCTCAGACAGACAGAAGACAGAAAACAGAAAACGGAGAGGGGGCCCGTAGTGGAAAAGAAATGCAGGAAGAGTAGGGAGCAGGAGAGCTGGAAACAAATAGACAGGGGGGGATCTGCCTGGGGGTTCCAGAGACACAGAGGAGGAATGTGGGAGGTCCACAGACGGAGGAAGCTGGGGAGACCAGAGACAAAGAGAACCGGGAGCCCAGAGACAGAAAAACAGACCGGAGAGAAGCTGGGAGGGAGGGCCTGAGACAGCCGGACACAACAGGGTGGAGGGGTCGACCTGAGCGCAACGGGAGGAAGCCTGCTGGGGGCTGACACACATCCAGACGGAAGGGAGGTCCTAAGACAGACAGACAGACGGAAGGAGCCGCGGGAGGAGGGTTCACAGCGACAGAGGGAAGGGCGGGGGAGGGTTCACGCACTTCGGGGAGAAGACGGAAGAAAAAGGAGCCCCCCTCCCAACTCCCTGCAGTGCCGGGCCTGAGGCCCCCTCGGGGCGCAGCAGGCGACGGAGGCAGGGCCTCGGGACCGCCCGGACCCCGCGCCTGCTCCCCTCCCCCAGCCGGCGCGCGCTCCCAGCTCCCACCCCCAGCCCCCAAACGGCCCGCACTCGACGTGCCGGCGCGCGCTCCCTCCCCCACGCCCCACCCTCCCCTCCCCGGGGCCGCCACGCGCCGCCACGGCGTGCCGGCGCGCGCCCCCAAGCCCCGCCGGCGTCGCGCCGGCACCCCGGCTCGAACGGCGTCTGCTCCTCGCTCCCTTCCCTCCCCGCGCTCCCCTCACCGAGCCTTTTCCTCCGGCCCCGGCGCCGCCGTTTGTGCCAGCCGCCCAGCGCCGCACAGCGCGCCATACCCCGCCCCCACCGCCCGCGACGCTCCGCCCCCGCCTCGCCCGGTGGGCACGTGACCGCACCCGGGCGGAGGGACATCCGTGCGCAGGCGCGAGCGGCGCGGGGCGGGGCGAGGAAGTTCAGAACGCCCCCCTCGAGAAAGGGGAAGTGGGTCGGGCGCCGATGCGAGGTTCATTTGCATTCTTCGCTCCGCCCGCTCCGCGCGAGAGGAGGACGGCGGTTAGGAAGGGCTGGATTGGGGAGGGGGAGCTTCTGCGCCTATTATGCCAAACACGCCGGAGGGGTATGCAAATAAGGCTATTTAGAAGGGCAGGCCCACCCGCTCAGAGCCCAGACCGCTGCGGAATAATAAGTAGCCGGCTCCGGGAGTGCCGTGCACATCATCGATGTCAATTGTACGGACAGCTCCGCCCTCTTACAGCCGAAGAATAGGGATGAGGCTTTGAGAAATGTCTGCGCAGTTAGTTGGGAAATTTATGTAAATTCGCACGTCAGTAAGTAATTTACGTAAGGATTTTTTATAACGGAGGAAAGAAAGTGCAGAACGTCCTTGAGGAAGGGAGAACGGACTAGAAGCGATGTGCAAACCTACCGTGACCCGCTCCGCCCTGCCCCCTCGGGACAATTGTGGGGGTCGGAATAAAGCAACCTAGGAAAGCTATATTTGCACGGCAGCCTCTAGTCTTTACTAACATTTTGGGCACAGGCCTGGGGGGACTATGCAGATTAGGTTATTTATATGCCCCGCCCCCTCCGCCATCGCCCGTGCTGAGCAGGGGCTCAGGCCTGCCGAGGAGGTGGGTTAAGGCCGACTTGAGGGTGGCCGAGCAATTGGGAATGTCCTGAGGGGGCTGCACCTGTCCCTGGCAGAGCACGTGCAGGTCTCAGCGGTTCACCTGGACACAAGGTGGTAACACACCAGTCTCGACTATGCACCTGAGTCAGGGTTGCATAAAGCCCCACGTAGCGCTCTCGGGCAGACACAGGGTTCACACAAGTATATCAAAGGAGCCAAATTCACACCAAAACGCATGCAGACCTCAGGGGCATACGTTTCACAGTCACGTACGCAATTGTCTGACACCGCCTCAGACTTTCAGGAATTTTCAGGAATGTGCCGTGCGTGGGTGTCGCCCACCAGGCACCAGCCGCAGCTCACTAACAGGCCAGAATTCTCATTTCCTGGCCTTGGGGTCCCAACACCACCAGCCTCGAGGATACAATCACCAAGGACACAGAGTAGTCACAAGCAACAATGTCACACACACAAGCAGCACATTCCTACAGATCTCTTCACACACATCACAAACATAAGGACATCAGTGTTACATATGTGGGCCTCCAGCATGCATTGCCACAAAATGTGCACACAGTGCCGATTCCCTCCACAACAGACACCTGAGTCATGGAGTCATGGTGTACCCCCACACTACTACCAACCCAAAAACATGGACCCCAAACACCCTGACACATGAGTCTTCCATCAGGGACCTCTTCTGTCTCTCCTCCCTCCCCACCACCCCAAAATGATGGAGGCCAAGACACAGGTGTAAACAATGCTTTATGGGGGCGGGGTGGGGACGGGACAGGCCTCCAGGTAATAAATAACACGTACTCGCAATGGCAGGACCAGGCAGGGAGCTGGGGCCAAATGGCCCTGGTCTCAGGCTTTGGGAACTCTTCGAGTATGGCTGGGGTTTCAGGGGGAACAGGGGTTAGCCAAGACAGATGAAGCAGCAGCAGGTACGGATTCCCCCTTCCCCCGTGGCTCAGTCTTGCCCCTCAGCCAGGCCCCACCAGGCCAGGGAAGGGGGACAGGTGGCGGGGCAGCTTCTCCGGGGCCAGGACAGGTGAGGGGCTTGGCCTCCTGGGGCCTGGGACTGGGCCCCAGCCGGAAGGGCAGGGCTGGTCCTGGAGAACAGGTGAGCTGAAAGAAAAGTGTGTGGTGAACTTGAGGGATCCTGGCTCTGTCCAGCTGGTGTCTCTGTCTCGTTTCTGGGTATCTTCCTGCCCTCCTATCTGTGTCTGTCTGTCCATACCTATCTCTTTCTCCCAAAGTTTCTACATGGTCTGTCTGTCTGACTTTGTTTCTCGTCTGCAGGTAATTCGGGCTCTCTCTCGGAGTGTGCCAGCCCTGGTTAAGATTGAGTGTTTTCACTGCTGCTGCGGCCCAGGTCACCCAGGTTCCCCAGTCTGTCAGGTTGTTACACTGTGGCAGCTGCAAGCTGCTGGGATGCATGTCACCAGTATTTCCAATACCAGCAGGGTCCCCTATGGTGGAGAGGTTTCAGCGGATCTTCCAGACTAAGACAGACTAGGAAAAAGGACATGGCCACCCTCTGGAAAAACTGGCCATGAAAACCCTACGAACAGCAGCGGAGCATTGTCTGATAGAGCACCAGAAGGTGAGAGGATGGCGCAAAAAGACCAGGCAGGGTTCCACTCTGCTGGACACAGGCTCGCCAGGAGTCGGAATCAACTCCAGGGCACTAACAACTCTGAGGGTTCTTGCATCTCCCTGTTTCTCTGCCTCAGAGAGCTGTCTCCTTGAGTCTGTAGAAGGGCATCTCAATGTCTACATTTTCTATCTCTACGTCCTTCTATGTTCCAGGACCACCCTGGCTCTACATCCCGTTCCAGTGTTTTCCAAAATGCGGAGACTCATTTAGTTAGCGGTTCTTGATTTGGCTGCAGATAGCGTTACCTGCGAGCTTCTAGAAATCCCGAAACCACTTCAGAATCTCTGGGGTGAGGCCCGGGCTACAGCAGCCATTAAGGCTCTCCGGGTGATTCCAATGTGCAGCACATGAATGGGCTGGGAAATCAGTTTGGTGGGCCTGGACCGATTTTTTTATTGAAATGGAATAAAATAGAATAGAAAATATCAGAGCGCATCATATGTAATAAGAATATACTGGTCCATAGAGACAGAAAGCAAATTGGTGGGTGCCCAGAGCCTGGGTGGGATGGGGAGAGACTGCTGAGTGGGTGAGGGGTTTCCTTTCAGGGTGATGAAAATGTTGTGGAACTAGACAGAGGCAGTGGTTGCACAAGTTGTTGCACAAGTGAACGGCACGCTTTAAAAGGCCTAAATTTATGTTATGTGAATTACACATCCATTTTTTTAAAAAAACAGATTGGTGCTAGGAAACATGTGTTTCAGTTTTCTATTTGTGTGTAACTATGTTAGGTCAACAGAGAAAATATATTTCCTCCTGCAGATCGCAGTCAACAAAGTTTGAAAGAGCACTGTCTTAGGACATTGGATTCACTGAGGCCAATTCTGAAACAGATATACTAAGCCCTGACGTGAACAGTACACACCCACCCACTTCTGCACAGCCCAGAGGCTTTCCAATGGGGAGTGAGAAGAAAAATAACAAGTAGCCCTCCATCTACCAAGTCTTTACTAAGTGTCTGGCTCTGTTCTAAGCACTTTATGTGAACTAACTTAATCTTCTGAACACCCACCTGAGGGACGAACTATTATTAGCCCCATTTGACAGATGAGGAAACCAAGGCCCAGAGAGGTTAAGTAATTTGCCCAGAGTCACTCTGGCACCAGGTGAGAGAGCCGGAGTGTAACGCAGGCGGCCTGGCTCTGGAGCCTGGTCTAGCACCCCCTTCCCTTCTCAGATGGGGAAGACAAACGCCATACAGATAACAATGATCAAGTGTACAGAGCTGGATGCTTTCAAAAAGGAAAGGGCACTTGGGGGACCACCCAGCAAGAGGGAGTAACCCCAGCTGGGAAGCCCTTAAAGGTTTCCTGCTGCAGGAAGAGTCATTTGAGCAGAGAGCAGATGATGAGTGGCAGTTGGCGGGAGAAAGGAGGCAGGCGGAGGGGTGCGCCAGGCCGAGGCCCAGCGGACACAAAGGCCTGGAGGGAAGAGAGAGCGCTGCTGAAGCACTCACCCTTGACTCCTCTCTCTCAAATTCCAGATCCATTCCATCAGGAAACCACGGTGGCTCTGCCTTCGGAGTATGTCCAAAGGCTAACCACTTTCCCCACCGCCACCCTGGAGCAGCCGATGGCTGGGAGGAGGGTGGGCAGGAAGCACAGAGGGGAGAATTGGGAAGATATACACACCCCCGGAGAGGTGGGGAGAGGTGGGAGTTGGGGCAGGGGAGTTCGGCAGTGGCCAGTCCCTGCAGGGGGTCAAACACCAGGCTCAGGAGCCTTAGCTGTGTCCCCTGGGCCCCGGGAACCATGGATGGTCCAAACGGGGAGGACAGGATGAGATCTGTGCTTTAGGAAGACCTGGTGGCTACATCAAGAGGGGACAGGACTGGAGACAGAGGCCAGAAGGATACAAACCTATCCACTTCTCAGTCCCTCCTCTGCCCCCGGCCTGGTCCTGTCCACCATCGTCTCTCATCTTGACTTTGCAGTAGCCTCTTCGCTGGTCTCCTGCCCCCCACAGTCTCTCCTCTATATGCAGTCAGAGGGACCCTGAGTCAGATCCTGTCCCTCCTCTGCTTAGAGCGCTCCTGTGGCTCCCGTCCCACCCAGGGTATAAGCCAGAGGCCTCCGCATGGTCCACAAGGCCCTAACTGATCTGCTTCCCCCAACCCAAGGCCTCATCTCCTGCTCAACTCCCCCCTCAATACATACACACCACACACACTGCACTCCAGCCATGCTGGCCTCCCTGGACTTCCTCACCCAGGCCAGGCACAACCCTACCTCAGGGCCTTTGCACCAGCTGTTCTCTCTGCCTAGAGCACCTTCCCCTAGGGACCCACATGACCCCCTCCCTCACCTCCTTCAGGTCTTTGCTCAAATGTCACCTTCCCTGTGAGTCCTTTCCTCATCATCATGTCTAACATTCCACTCCGCCCCCTCTCCTCTCTTTGCCTGGCTTTATTTTTCTCTATATTCTTATCTTTCTAACTACTATGCCATTTACTCATGTATCTTGTTTACTGTTTGTCTCCTCCCAAGAACATGTGGGCTCCACCCGGGCAGGGATTTTTGTCTGTGTTCCCAGTGCATGAACAGGACCTGGCCCTCAGTGGGCACTCAATAAACATCTGGTGAATTATGCATGGGAGGGTCAGAGATCCAGGGCAGAGAGCCGGCAGTGGGATGAGAAGGACCGGTGAGTTCCCTGTGGCCAGGAAGATAGCTCCTTTAACTCAAGTGGTCTTGCGTCTTTCTCTCATTGTTTCTCGTCATCTCTCCTGTCCCGTGTCTCTGTCTCTGCCGCATACACCCCCTTGCCAGGAGACCACCCCTGCGGTCCCTGAGTCCCCAGTATCCCACCTGGCTCCGCAGGTCTCAGCAGCCACAGGGCTGAGGGGCCACGGCCTGGGCGCTCCGAGGCTGCCGCAGCTGGCGAAGGGAGGCGTCCCCGTACTGAATGCCTGAGCCCATCCTCTCGGGGTCGAGCTCGCCTAGGGAAGAGGGCAGAGGTCAGGACTGGTCCCTCGGAGGAGACCTCGGCGCCCCACCTTCCTCTCCGACTCTTGCTGGTCAGTCAGTCGGGGGCCTCACCTGAGTCGATCTTGTTCAGGATGGTGCGAGCACACTTCAGGAAAGCCTCCTCCACGTTCTCACCGGTGAGAGCGCTGGTTTCCAGGAACATCAGCTCTGGGGGCAGACGCTCCGGAAGGTCAGGGCCTCGGGCATCCCCATCCCCCAATCCCACTCTGACCTGCTGCCCCTCAGTCTGTTCCTCAAACGCTCCTCCTTTGCCCTCACTCCTTGTCTGTGCTGTTACCCTGCCATGAATGCTGCCCTCCCCAGGTACCCACCCAGCTCAGAGCTCAGCCACACATCTCCTCCTCCAGAAAGTTCTCCTTGACCTCCCAGGATGGGTCAGGTGCCTCCTTTGGGCTCCCACAGCCCCTGTGCCTCCCCCATCCCAGCTCTGACCCCTCTGGGCAGTCACTATCTGCAAATGGGCCTGGCCCCCTCCCCCACCCACTAGACTGTGAGCCTATGAGAGCTGGGCCCAGACTGTCCTTGTCACTGTGTCCCCAGCACCATCTAGAACAGGCCTAGGCGCCCTGTGACAGGGCCACACAGTAAGTTAAGAGCCAGGATTCAAACCCACATCTCTCTAACGGCAAAACCTCCTCTCCAGTTTGGAGATTACAAACTGGAGGAACATGGGCAGATGCTAAAGCCAGCAGCTGCTTGGCCAATGTGATATTTTCGAATGAGATATCCCCTAGGGCCATGGGAGTTTGCGGTCTCCACCTTATACCAGTAGCCCCCTCACTGCCTCCCCATCCTGGTGGAAACCTCCTTAGCAGCCAATGTTAATCAAGCACCCACCCAGCGCAGGAGGTGCTGAGGGCTTTCCATGTACCATCTCCCTTTAACCATCATGGATAATGGGAGGCGGAAACACTGTGATACCCACTTTCCAAATGAGGAAACTGACGATCACAGTGGTCACACAGCTCGCATGTGGCAGCACTCAAATTTGAACCCAGACCTCTAAATCTCCACATTCCCCTGCTGGGCACAGCCAGAGACACAGGAGGCCCAGAGAACTGTCCCCTCCTCCAATGAGCCCCCTGCCCCTGCCGGCCCATGGCTCGGCCCTCACCGTTCTCCTGGGCAAAGCGGGAGGCCTCCAGGAAGGTGACCTCACGCTCCGGGTCCAGGTCCTTCTTGTTGCCACAGAGGATGACCACGATGTTGGGGCTGGCCAGCGTGCGGGCGTCCGTCAGCCAGGCAGCCAGCGAGTTGTAAGTCTCCCGGCTGTGGAGGAAGGAGAGAGGAGGGAGGCCGGGCAGGAGAGGGGCAGCCCCGGCCCCGCCCGGCCCGCTCCGAGCACCCACCTGGTGATGTCGTACACCAGCAGGGCTCCAGCCGCCCCTCGGTAGTAACTCCGCGTCACCGACCTGTGGGGCCAGGGGGACCCAGTCACCCCTGAGGCTGGGGTCTGCCCCGAGACTGCCCCCCTCTGCGGAGAGAGACTGGTGGTTCGGAGGCCCCCCTTCACTGCTGGCCCATCCCCCAAAACCTGGCCATGGTCTGGTCTCACTACAGTTTCTCTGTCTCTGAGGCAGTCCCTCAATGTCTCTCTCTCTAGCTGCCTGTCTGAGTCTCCCCCATCTTTGACTCTCTCTGTGTCCCCATCTTTCTGTGGCTCTTCATTGGTCTCTGTCTTTCTGTCTGTCTCTCTTATGTGTGTATGTCTTTAATTCTCTATTTCTCTGGCTCTGCCTCTCTCTGATTCTGGCTCTCTCATCCTCACCCTTGCTTTCATTCATTCATTCATTCATCATTTTCTGTCATCTCCCCTTTGCCCAGTCCTGGCCAAGTGCTATGCAACAACATTCACTTGTCCCTTTCCGGCTGTGTCTCAGGGAGGCCCCTTTCCCAGTGTGGCCGACTGTCTGTATCTCCCTGTATCACCGTCTGGGTCCCTCTGGAACTCGTGCAATCATTCCACAAGCATGTAATGAGCACTTCCTGTAAACCCAGCCCATGCCACACACCTGTCTCTGTCTGTCTCTGGGCTCCATGCACCTCATCCAGGGAATTCACACATGAGTATTAACTTAGCAGCTACTAAGGGCTGCCCAGGGAGCACACTTCTCTGTGGACTGGATTCCCTGTTTTTCTCTCCTTCTCAGTCTCTGTTTCTATGTGTCTTATTTTTCTGCAGACATGTCCTGAAGACATACTGTGCTAAGCCCTATGTATTTCTCTGTTTTTCCCCAGAACACATCCATTTCTCCATCTCTCTGGTTCCACCTGTCCCCCTTCTCCATCTCTCTCTGTCTCTGCCTCTGGTTCTCTTCTGTCTCCTAATCTCCCTTATCTTTCTCTTCTTCTCAGTCTCTGTCTCTCTTTCTCTCTCCCTCTCTGAGTGTGTGTATCTCTCTTGCAAGCTTCCCTTTCTGTTTTAGTCATTCTCTCTCAACTTCGACCCCTCGCACCCACCCCTAAACATCTCTTTCTCTCCAGGCAGGCCCCATCTCTCCCTGGGCACAAGTCTCCATCCCTCCAGCCACATGGGTCTATCTATCATAGTCTCTCCAGGGCCTGTCGGTCCCTCCCTGCCTCTCTCTTCATTTCTTTCTCAATCTCTTTTCCTCTCACTGTCTCTGTCGTCCTCTCTCCAGGAATCCGTCTCTCTCTGGCTCTATGTACCTGCTAATCAGAGTCTCTCTCCCTCTGCCTTGCCTGCCCTCTCTGTGTCTCCCTGCTCCTATCGTCTCCAAGTGACTCTGCACACCTCTCTCTCTCTCATTTTCTCTCCTCTCTCCTCCCCCTTCCTCTCCCTCTTTCTGTCCTTGGGAGCCCAGCCCACCTACCGAAATCGCTCCTGGCCAGCTGTGTCCCAAATCTGCAGCTTCACAGTCTTCCCACCCACGTTGACCACCCGGGATCCAAACTCCACGCCGATCGTGTGGTTGGAGTCCTGTTTGACTGGGAGTGGGAGGGAGAGAAGAGGCAATGCAGGAGCTCCGAGGATTCCCTGTCCTCCAAGGCCGCCTCAGCCTGTACAAACCCATTCTCATTGCTGGGGTTACTGAGGCTCAAGGAGGACCTAGCAAAGGGCATACACCAAGGCAAGAAGCAGGCAGCCAGCACTGGAGTTGGACCTATGGCCAGCCCTGCCCCTGTCCACCCCATAGTGCCCACGCCATGCCCATGCCCACGGTTCAATGCTCCCAGGACCACCCCCAGAAACTCACACTTATTCTCAATGAACTGATGAAGGAGACATGATTTGCCAGTTCCTGCACTGCCAATCACCAGGAATTTGAAGAGGAAGTCTGGGCAGATGGAGCCAAAATCAGGGAAACCCATTCGGGGAGAGAGAGAGACAGGGGAAAAGACAGAAACCAAGAGACCATCACAGTTACAGGGAGAGAAATAGACACAGGCAGAAACCGAGCAATGGATAAACAACAGTAACAGATCGTTCTTATATAGTGCTTACCATGTACCAGGCACAGTTATAAAGTGCTTTACTTACACCAACAGCTCACTTAATCCTCAGGAAAACTCTATGAGCGGGGTATACTAATAATTATCCCCATTTTCCAGATGAGGAAACTGAGGCCAGAAAGGTTAACTGACTTGCCCAAGGTCCCCCAACTAGGCAGAGCTGGGATTGGAACCCAGGTCAAATGGCTCCAGAGTCCAAAACCTTAGCTAATTATTTGGCAATCGTCTCTTGAAAGCCATTTTATCAAGGTCTACAATCTTGTCCTTGCCCCTCACGACTTCACCTCCTATTACTCTCTGCCTCAGTCACTCCACTCCAGCCTCTGTCCTTCAGTTGATTCCCTGAAAATGACAAGCTGGTTCCCATTTGCTCCCTCTGCTTTTCTCTATTTGTTGAATGAATAGAGACTCCTAAACCAGTCCTAATAGGACTCTCTGACTCCTGAACCAGTGCTCTTTCCACTGCACCCTGTCGTCGCACCTCGTATCCATCCATCCTGATTTCCCAATTCTCAGTCCCTCCCCCCTCCCTCTGCCCAAGGCCCTGACCATATTCTCAAGCTTAAGCCCCACCCCTTGCCACTAGTCCCAGCCCCTACTTCAAGGCCAACTTATCCCCAACCCCACTGCAGACCTCTCAAACCAGAGCAGTCCAGGGTCCAGAGCATCCCTTCACGCTTCCCCCTAAACCATCAAGCTCGACCCCTGCCATTCACACAGTCAGCCCCGCCCCATCCTCTCAGGCTCCGCCCGACACACTAAGGCCCACCCTTTCCCTCAAGGTCTATCTCTGATCCATCGTGACTGGCTCCCACAAATCCCGCCCCAGATCTATTTAAACCACACACCAGACCCTCAGGCTCCGCCCAAATCGATGAAACTCAGCCTTAGACCCACTAAACCCCTCCCAGCATCCACTAGGCCCTGCCCCACAATACCAGACCCCGCCCCCGGATATGTAAAGCCCCGCCCCACTGCCCACAGGCCGCATCCTCCCCCAGCTCGGACCCCAGACCCCAGCTTCGGTCCATCACCCTCACCGTAGGTCTCGGCCATGACTCGGTCGCGGCCGCTGGGGGCCACAATATGGCGCCGCGGCCGCGCCTGCTCCTCGGCTGGCAGCCGCTCCACTCCGGCTGCAGCCCGGGCTCCTTCCTACTCCCGGGGCCCGGCGCCGCCACTTCCGCCTCCACCCCCCTCCGGCGCGACCCGCTAGGGTTGCGGGATACCGGGCCACGCTCCTCCAGGGCAGGGATTGGGGGACTCGGCGTCCGGGGGGCGGGACGAAAGGCGCGGATTGGCGGTGTGAGAGGGGACGAGCCGAGAGGGGCGGGACCAAAGCGAGTGATTGGCGGAGGAAGTGGGAAGGGGCGGTGCAGAGGATGCTCCGCCGAGCAGAGAAACGGATTTGGTCAGGAGTCCGACTCCGGATTGGGTAGGAGCAGACTGGGGCGGGGATACGGATGCAAAGAAGAGGCCACGGGCAGGATTGACAGAGCCTGGAAGAGGAGAGGATTTTGAGCTGGCGAACGCGGTTTCTGACCTCAAAGGCAAGAAGAATGAAAATTGGGGGGGGATACACGCAAGTTAACCTCCGCCTCCCTTTGCAGATAATCTGCCAAGAAAACCTCTGCTCTGCGATTTGTGTCTTGCTCATGGTCTGATTGGCTCATTCCCAATCTTTCAGCTCCCTCTCATTGGCCGAGAGGACACTACCATCCCCCAATTGGGCTGTTTTCTTATTTGCTTGTATGTGATACTTAAGCTTAGGAGCCCACCTCCAGTACCCAGTGCAGCAAAGAGCTTTGAGTCTGTGAAACTCTGCCCAGCAACCACTGACGTCACCACAGTCAGTGAGTTGATTGGCTAAATGCAGGAACGCGGGGGAAACATTTCCTTTATAGAGCCCCACCACAAAGACCACAGAGACCCGCAGTTTGCACTTGGCTGATGTATTTGCATAAAGCCGGGGAGAAAAAAACAGCAAGGACGGCGGTAGGCTGAGCTCACTGGCAGTAGAAATCCCATTTCTGAAAGAGAAAGGGGAAACCGTGGGGAGAAACCCAGCGATCACACCACAAAGGATCTAGTGGTTTTAGCAAAGCCTGTGGCGGCAGGCGCCGGTTTGGCTGCACAAGTGCTATGCAAATTAGCCCAGGGCCCTCTAATCTTTGCACCTCTCAACTTCACCGGGACTTAGAAATCACTCCCCATTTTACAAATGAGAAAACTGAGGCAGGGAATTTGTCCCAGCACGCAGAACTAGGCTGCCGGGAGCCAAGGGGAGGGGCATCTTTGCCCATCATCACAACCCAAGGATCCTCCCTCCAGATCCCTGCAGGCCACCGAAACACTCACATCTGTCTTCACTTCGATTTTGCCAGGTTTCAGAGTGGACTCCTCGCGTACAATGCTACTGGGGAAATAGCCCAGGCGAGCAGCCAGGTCTCCATAGTAATCTCCCTGAACCTGGAGAAGAGGGGTTACAAGGCAGGGTCTGGGAAGATGGCAAGCTCGTTCCTGCTGAAGACCTTTGCACTCTCTCTTCTCCCTGATCTCCACATGGCTGGCTCCATCTTTATGATGGAGACTCGGGTCTCAGCTTAAAAACCCTCCCTGACCGCCGGATGTAAAGTAGTCATCTGGTCACTCTGTATTAATTCTCAGAGCAGCGCGTATCTGCTGATATTTTTGAGGACTTGTCTCCTTCCATTAGAATAAAAGGGATCATTTGCTGTTCTATCTGCAGTGTCTGGAACAGAACTTGGCCCCACAGCAGGTACCCCAAAGTAAAAGTAAAGTAGATCACAGTAGCCCCCCAAAACTATTTCAGTTCACCCCCTCGAATTTCCCCTTCAAGAGCAAAATGAGGGTGCACTCCCACCCTAGCCCCACACCCTTTCCTCTTCTGTTCTCCCAAGACTCACGCTGCCTCCCCAGAAGAGCCGCCCTCGGCCCTTCAGCTTGGAGTAGACATACACGACTTGGCCCCTGTGTATGGTCAGGAAACGGCAGTCGGGGGCCATGTAGTCCTGAAGGGCCACAGCCATGGAGATGGGGTCTGGGGAAGGAATAGAAGGGAATGACAAGACCCTCCTCACAAGATAGCAAGCCAAGCCCCCACACCCGCCACCCCCCAACTCTTACGGCTGCATTCCTCATCAGCACACAGCTTCCGATCAGCCAGTTTGGGCATGGGGCCTCCGACACTAGGCCCTGGGAAGGCAGACAGCAAGATGATGACACCGAGGAATACCGGAGACCAAGCCATCGTGGATTATGAGTGAGAGTGCAACCAAGGGGAAATGGGGTCTCCGATTTCCTCCTGCCCCACCTCTCTCCAGCAGGACAAGGAAACCTGTGTTCTGCCTCTTGTCCCCGCCCTAAAACAGTCCCAAATTTCGCCCACACCACCTAGAGGCTGCTACCCAGCCAGAACCATTTCAAGGGCAGGGTGAGGGTTGCCTGCCCAAGGAAATGCCCAGTAGGCCCAAAGCAGCCCAGGCCACTCCAAGTGACAGCCACCCCCTCAACAATCAGAGAGGCCCAGACAGGCAGGTTGACATATGCAATTCTATCTTCTCCTGAGTCTGCTTGGGTACCTGGGCCCCTCTGCTGTCCCCTCCAGGGACAGAACCACAGGAGCCGGTATGGAAAACTACCTTGGAATTTCCTGTGCTGAGGGGCAGGAGAAAAAGGCAGCCCTTTGATGGCAGGAACAGCCCCAGCTCTCAAGTACTGAAAGATTACATGTTGGGCCCGAGGCTGGAGCGATGCCCTACCAAGATCACATTTATCCTCACAAGCCACTTCCTGACCCGGTGGCCTGGGCTAAGCTAGTTCTCCTCTCAGAGCCTCATCTGTAAAATATGGATAATAAGAGTAACGGTTATTTATACAGCATTCACCATGTGTATTTTCATTAACTCACATGGATACTCTGCATCTCCTCAAGAGGAGCTATCATAACCCCAGTTTACGTGGACATGGAAGTGTAGCTTTAAGGAACTTGTCCAGGGATACAGCCAGGAAGTAGGGGGGCTAGATTTGGCCCCAGGCCCACACCCACACCACCGAGCTTGGAGTTCAGGTGTCCAAGAGAATAAGAAAGCGCTGGAGGATCTGAACTCCAGTCTCACCTCTAACCGTGAGCCTCAGAGATCCCTGCTGAACTCACTCTCCTGAGCATCCAGTTCTTTCCCCAAGCATTCTCTCACCTCTGGGACGGCAAGTCCCACCCTTTTGTAGGGGGAAGAGGATGAACACACACAGGCTTAGAGAGGGGAGGACTTCATGAGGGGCAAAGACTGGCCCTAAGCCATCCCTACATACCCAACACCCACCACCAAGTCCCACGAGAGGGTAAAACAGCTCTACTCCAATGTCACCTCCTCTGAGGGGCTTTCCTGGATCCGTCCAGTCCCTGTGTGCCAGCCCCACCACCCCATCACTCCATTAAGTCAGTTCTGTTTTTATCAGAACACAATATTTGGAATTAGCTTATCTATTTTATTCACCACTGCCTAGCTTATGCCAAGAACAGTATTTAGCACTTAACAGGTACTCAGCAAGTATTGCTGAATTTATTGAGTGCTTACTAAGTGCCTGGCAGTGGGGGGTGTGTGTTGGGGGCAGTGACAAGTACAAACAATATAGAGAGATTCCTCTTTATGCAGGAAGACAATGAAGCTCAGAGTTCCAGCATCAATTGCTTATGGGAACAGCTAAGGGGTGCCCCAGGCAGACAGCAGAAGCCAGGATCTGCTGACCACGGAACCCGTGGTTGCCTGTGTGGGGGTGAGATGGTTCCACGCGTCGTCTGCAGTAACACTGTGCCTTTTGGTGAGGCCGGCAATCCCTCTCCATTCAGTCTTTCAGATCCTACAGGACGGTGTGCACTTGGTGCCAGAAGTCTCCATCACTCCGGACACTCATGTTCCTCTTTAAGGGAGAAAGCCGAGCAGGGGCAGACTTGGGCTCACAGCCTTGGCAGAAAGAAACATCCCAAGAGAATTTAACACTATGTCTTATGTATTTAGCTTCGTGGTTAATTTTCTACTTCTGGCAAATGATCTCATTTTCCTATCTATATGGGATGAGAAAGGGTCTTAACCAATATTTTGTTTTTGAGTCAATTTAAAATTTCCCAGGTTAGGTGTGGGACAGACTGCTAAGAAAGGTCCCCCATTCGATCTGCCTTTCTTATCCATAGCTTCAGCTGGGTACGTGGCTGTCCAGCCAGAAATGACATCTCCTAGACTCCCCTGCAGCTAGGGCACAGGAGGGGAATTTGGTTCAGCCACCGGTCCGGGCCTCCTGGCCGGCAGCTGGCCAGCAAGGGAGAGCAGCTGTGCTTGAAGCGGCCACACTCTTCACCCCAGCATCCGGTCAGTAGCTTCCCACGTGTGATCAGGTCAGCTGGGGACCCCCAGCAGCAGCAGCGGCATCTTCCTCAACTCTAGCCTGCAGCTCCATCAGGTGCTGCAGACTTGAACTTGAACTTGAACTCTCAAACCCAGACTGCCACTCCTACCATCCCTGCAACGATTTCACGAGCTCCCAATTCCCTCCCTTTTTCCTGAACGACCTAGAGTGGTTTCTGCAGGACTCTTGCCACAACAGAAGGTACTTTCGTGAAGGTTAGAAAAAAGTAAAGAAAAACCTCTTCCTTAACACTATCGCATTAGCAAATTGTTGGAACTGTCTACAAAGTGAATGGTGTGCCATCAAAGGTGGCATCCTTGTGCGGCACAGAACCTGCTCAGTGTACATGGCAGCCTGGTCTCAATTTCCTGCCCTGAATGCTGATTGAGACAAAACAGAAATCTCCCAGAGTAGTAAAGGTGGCTTAAGCTTGGACAATATTACTACACCACTCCGTGTGTCACCAAGGCTGTAACCCCCAATGTGCCGGGAGGTCCAAATACCCAGAATATTCTGATGTGCAGGGAAGGGAAACAGAGAAGACAAGAAAATAAAAACAACAAATGGTTGTGAAAAACCGAACCTCAAAAAACCACTTTAATTCCGGCCTAACAGCGCCAGGTGCAATGTCTGGGGACAGACTCTGGGTACAATGCTGTGTGGCGACCACTCACTCACACACGGCTCCAAGAAGGCCCCCAAGGGGGACTTACCTTCAAGGGGCTGAGCCAAGGGGGGAGGGGTGGCCCCAGAACAGGGGGCGGGGGCAGGCAT